TCCAATATCTCAGAGGCTGCCACAAAGAAGAGGGAGTCAAGCTATTCTCCAAAGCACCTGAAGGCAGAACAAAAAACAATGGATGGAAACTAATCAAAGAGAGAAGCAATCTAGAACTAAGGAGAAATTTCCTGACAGTTAGAACAATTAATCAGTGGAACAACCTGCCTCCAGAAGCTGTGGATGCTCTAAGGTTGTGGAGGTTTTTTAAAAAGAGATTGGACAGCCATTTGTCTGAAATGGTATAGGGTTTCCTGCCTGAGCAGGAAGTTGGACTAAAAGACCTCCAAAGTCCCTTCCAACTCCATTATTATTATTATTATTATGGATCATCGCACAGTCAGCCAGATGTTCAGACTGGATTTGGCATTTTGTCTACCTATCGAGTCCTTACCCAGGATCTGGGACAGGCAGATGTGGATGTTTGATGGTATTACAGGTATCGTCGCAGGATAGAAGCAGTTCCTAGTAAGGCCGCCTTTTGCAATTGACTAATGGCAAATTTGTCAATGCCAATGGTGTTCAAGTGGTGCTCCAGCTGTTTTGGGATTGCACCCAAGGCGCCTATGACTATTGGTACTACCCTTGCTTGCTTTTGTCACAGTCTTTCTATTTCTATTTATAGGTCTTTGTATTTTGTTATCTTCTCCAGTTCTTTCTCTTCTATTCTGCTGTCTCCAGGCACTGCCACGTCCACTATCCAGACTTTTTTGTCTTTCTTATCGACAATTGTTAAGTCTGGGGTGTTATGTTGCAGGTGCTTGTCTGTTTGAATTCTGAAGTCCCAGAGCAGTTTAATTTTATCATTTTCTATGACTTTCTCTATTTTATGATCCCACCAGTTTTTGCTTACAGGCAAATGATATTTTTTGCAGATCTTCCAATGCACCATTGTTGCTACTTTGTCATGCCGCTGCTTGTAGTCAGTCTGTGCAATCTTCTTGCAACAGCTTACCAAGTGGTCCACTGTTTCTTCAGCTTCTTTGCATAGGCGGCACTTACTGTCTGTTGCTGTCTTCTCAATTTTGACTTTATATGCATTTGTCCTTAAGGCTTGGTCTTGTGCAGCCAGAATTAGTCCCTCGGTCTCTTTCTTCAATTTTCCTGCTCTTAGCCATTGCCAGGTCTTGTTATTATCTGCTTTCCCAGCTATTTTTTTAATGTATTGGCCATGTAGTGCTTTGTCTTCCCATGCCTCTATTCTGTTCTTCATTTGGTCTTTCTTGTAGGCCAGTTTGGTCTCTCCAGTAGTCAGTAAGCCTTCCTGATATACTAATTTCAGTGCATCTTCATCATTGTTCTTCAGATATTCTTCCAAAGCCATTTTTTCTTCTTCAACCATCTGATGTACTTGTAGCATTCCACGCCCACCTATTTGCCTTGGTAGATAAAGTCTATCAATGTCACTGCGTGGATGAAGGGCATGATTCATTGTCATTATTTTTCTGGTCTGCCTATCCATTGCTTTTAGTTCTGCTTGAGTCCAGTCCACTATTCCAGCTGTGTACCTAATGACTGGAATTGCCCAGGTGTTGATTGCCTTTATGGTATTTCCTCCATTGAGTTTGGACTTTAAGATCTTCTTCACTCTCTTGATGTATTCACCTCTAATCTTTTTCTTGACTTAAGTGTGCTTGATGTTGTCAGCTTGAAGGATACCCAAGTATTTGTAGTATCTTCCTCATCCAGACTCTTAATGTTATTTTCGTGGGGCATCTTGATTCCTTCAGTTTTCATTATTTTTCCTTGTTTGATAGTAAGTGTGGCACATTTGTCCAAGCCAAACGCCATAACAATATCTTGGCTATATATACGGACAGTGTTGAGCAGCAATTCTATTTCAGATGATGTTTTTCCATACAGCTTCAGATCATCCATGTACAGGAGATGGGATAGTCTGGCAGATGTTTTTGATGTTTGATAGCCAGGTCCTGAGTTATTCAGTATTATTGACAGAGGAAACAGTGCAATAATAAATAGTAATGGTGACAATGAATCTCCTTGAAATATTCCTCTCTTGATATTAACCTCTCCCAGTCTCTCACCATTGATCTGCAACTGTGTCTTCCATTGTGCCATCGATCTTTGCACAAATTTTCTGATGTTTCTACTGACTCCTGTTATTTCTAGGCACTTTGATTATCCAATCATGTGGCAGAGAGTCAAATGCCTTTTTGTAGTCAATCCATGCCACATTCAGGTTGGTCTTCCTTTTCTTGCAGTTTTCCAAGATCATTTTGTCTATTAGGAGTTGATCTTTTGTTCCTCTGCTATTGGGGCAGTTTCCTTTCTGCTCAGGTGGAAAGAGATTGTTTTCAACTAGATCAGTGGTTCTCAACCTTTCTAATGCCGTGACCCCATAATACAGTTCCCCATGTTGTGGTGACCCCCAACCACTTATACATCACCGGGTGCCAGGGGCGTGGCCAAAGAAAAGGGGGGAAAAATGGCGGACAGCCTTGTTTGGCGACCCCCATGAAATGGTTATTCGACCCCAAATGAGGTCCCGACCCACAGGTTGAGAACCACTGAACTAGATGCTGTTGTACTGCATCAGCTACCACACCAGTTAGTAATTTGAAAGTTGTTGGTAAGCAGGTAATTGGCTTGTAGTTGCCTGGTGTTGCCCCTTTTGCTGGGTTTTTCATTATTAGGTAGGTTTTCCCAGTTGTTAGCCACTTTTCAATTTCTCCTCCTTGTAGTATATTGTTGAATTGCTTGGCAATGAGTGGGTGTATAACTGTTAGATGTTTCAACCAAAACCCATGCAGTTCACTTCACATGGTGCTGACCAATTTTTGATTTTCCTTGCTCTTTTTTCTACCATTTTTGTTGTTATTACTAGTTCTTTCATTTATTATTATTATTATTATTATTATTATCAGCACCACCACCACCATCATCATCAAGAAATCTCATGCCATAACAAATCCATCAGACTCTGAGAAATAATAACCCTCTTAAGACATTATCATTTCAGGCTTACAAGTTATTGTTACTTCAGGTTGGTTTATAATCCACCTTTTAATTTTACATTACAAGATAAAAGCTCAAAGGGAATCTAATCATCGTTCAAAAAGAGGTTCTTTTTCTGTTCAAAATGAACACTCTCATGAAACTAAGAGAAATTTCTGTAGCTTGGAAGTAATTGACCTATCATGACATTGCTTTGTGGTGAGTGACTGGATTTTGCAAAGCTAGCATGTCTGTGGCAGTTGGGAAAAAATAAGCTACAGTAATTTATGTTGGTGAATCCTACCATTCATCTAAACGCCTTCAGTGACATCCACAAAACTGAGTAGGATTGATGGCTAGACAAAAGAAAGACAGAACAGAGACACTTAGCGCCCTGTTCGCTGCAGTGCATGACTTTCTTTGAATAGTAGCCAGCAGTCTGAGAGAGAGAGAAAATATGTATATGGATGTCCAAAGAGCAGCAAACGGTATTTTGGCAGAGCTATAAGGAGGCCCAGGCCTGGAGCCATCCATAAATACAATATAACTTTGGTCATCAGACTGGATATTATGAGGTCATTTTCTTTCCTTTTTCTAAACAGTATGCTTCTTGACCCTTGTTCTTCAATGGCTGTCTTTTCTATTGTGACACATCAGCTGTCAATCTCAGTCAAGTTCAGCTCCTGGGGCAGAATAACTTTTAGCTGGATAAGTAGTTTACTAGCAAGCAGATCAAGTTTTCAGCAGTCACCATAGCACTGTGGAACTGGAACTGACCAATAAAACACTCCAAACCTACTGTATTGATGGAAAATTTCAAAAAGTCACCATTCATGAAAAAGAGCATAGTAATTATGCAGTGCTATTTTGTTTTTCTCTAGAAAATAAAATATGTGAACAGAAAGAATGTTTGTGTGTGTCTGTGTGCACACGCTTGTCTGCCTATCTCTCTGTCTGTCAGCCAGATATGAAAGTAATCCTGTGGTGTAGTCCATGATTTTTACCCAACATTTTCCTTCACTCTGGCAAAACAATATGCCTCTTCAACCTCTACTATATCACTTTAAAGCTTGTCTGATCCTGGGGATTTACAGTGTCAGAAAGAATCAACTGCAGAGAATAGTAGAGAGGCTCAGGGTAAATCCCCATTTTTGGATTTCCTACTCCAGCAGAGATCTCCCCTGTATCTCATGAGAAACAAAAAAGGCCTCTTTGGCTCCAGACCTCATTGTGTCTTTCATTGTTTGTATCTGGCATAAGGTAATGAAATGAGCAGCAAACTTCTGTTTATTTTTCTTGTTAATATAAGCAATTCACTCACAGCTTGCAGTGACCACACACAGTATAAATGTGTTTCAAGTGTTTTGGATAACTTTTGCTGTAAATGAATAGATATAAATATCCTGTTGCTGCAGCATGTGTTAAAGTATATTATTACATTTTTTCCTGTACTAAATTTATTTCTTACTGTGTTTCTGTGGCCAAAGTCTAATATAAATAATATTAGTTTCAATAAACATTTAATATTTATGTTAAATATGTACTCACAAATTTGATAATAAAAACTTGACATGTTTTAGTTTTTCTCTGTTCAGACTTCTACCTCAGATATGTAACTAAATGCAGGTGGAGGGACTGATTAGACTACCTCTAGTTATCAGATGTAAGCTGATACTTTCTAAAAATCTGTTCAAGGGATTGATAAATAATCAGTGATAAAAGGCAGCCAAACATGACTAGAAATAGCTTAGAAATTGAAAAGCAGAACTAGAATCTAATACTATACATTCTCATCTCAGACCCATGCATCTAGTTCTCAAATTATATTAAAAAAACCAACAATTTTTAAAAGCCAGGTAAAAAAATATTTGACTCAGTTAATCTTTGATGGGATAATGGTACTCAGATGCATCTTTAAATGCAATAAGCTGATGTGCCGATCATCTTCAATAGTAGATATCCTTTGCTTTTGAAAAAAAAACATGCTTTGCAAAATAATACACTAAGCAAATTCTTCCTTTGCTTTTCTCCTACTTTTTTTCCAGTAAAAGATTTGGACACTGAAAAATACTTTCATTTGGTGAGTATTCTGTTCCAAGAAGAGTCCATGACATTACTCTGCCATTCTAAGTAGGCCAGATAGATTTTCCTTAGAGAGAGGAAGTTTTCCCCCACACACCAGAAAAATATATGAGTGACATGGTTTAGAGAAATGAAGTCAACACCCAAATCACAACAGCTTTATGCAAAGCTGAGGAAAGAATTACAAAAAATAATGTGATGGTTGGGAGGCAGGCCTGGGCCAGTGTACTATAACCAAATCTGTTCCTAGTGAAACAAGTCCCCCCCCCCTTTGTTTCCCCCTGCCTTACAGTTTAGTTGTGTATAATCTAAGGACAGTAATGCTGCACATGGTTTATTGTAAAGGCAAATGTAAGAATGCTTTCCATATGCACAGTTTATGCGGAACGATAAATTTGTCATCCAGTCAGTTTATTGGCCTAGGATCAGACTCATTGGGGAGGGGACAGTTTAGACCCTTGAGGTTCTTGCGTTGTTTGTGTAATAGGATAATAATTGAACACACAAATTTGGCAGAGAGAAGGAACGCATTCAATTTTTTTTATCTGAGTCTCAATCATAATCTTGCATGTATTTCTAACATATTTTATCTTCCTGATGACTGCCAGTTATCAAAAGGGAAAGAATTGTTATATCTAGTGATGTTTTAAACAGCTGAATTCATTGTAAACTGAACCTATTGCAAAATTCTTCATTCACTGAAAGGAGAGGGGAAAGGAAAGGAGGAGGAAACAACCAATACAGCTGGCAATAGTATAAATTATATTTAATATTGTTCCATTGTTCATAATCTCATTGCTCTGGTTTATAGCATAAAGAAGTAGTCTTTCTTCTTTTTTTAAATTAATGCTTTGTTGGCAGCTTTTATATTTAAAAAAATCTTTGTAATAATCGTTCATCATCTGTTTGTATCTGTGTGGATTTTTTTCTTTATTGTTATTGTTGTTTGGCCATTGTCCAGGTCCTTCCCACAGATGAACTAAATGAAAATAAAAAATCTTACCGACAAAGTCATAGAAAAAAAGTTCTTCCTGAAATCTACCTAACCAGATTGCTTTCCACAAAGGTAGGACATTAGAGGTGCTCTCAGTGAAAAGATTGATCCTTGGTATGAAATTATTGATCCCAGATGTATGCTTTGGCATATTACAAATGTTCCAACTGACTAACAAAATCAAGTTCCATTAAAATTAACTCTGAATTACCCAATGTTTTACATTACATGAGAAAATAGCTATCTTTATGATTAAAAATGAAATTTTGTAGTGTAATCTTGTATATTTTTTTATTTGTAAATAAAATTCTATTACATTTAGTGGAACTTATTTTTAGACAAGTGTGCATGAAATGAAATTGCATTTAGTAAAGAGTAAGGAGTGTAGTGGCTCACATGGTTAGGACACTGATTGACAAGCAGCAAGTCTGCGTTCGAGACCCAAGTACTGTAGTAGGATGGAGTGAGCTCCCATCATTCAGTCCAGCTCCTGCTGGGGACATGAAAGGAGCCTCCAACTGGGCGTCCCCTGGGCAACGGTGATGTCACCAACTAATCCTTTCAACCCAGAAGCACCTCGGTGCTTCCGACACACATGCAAAGCGAGTAAAGAGTATATTTCATTAAACTCACCGGAAAGACATTAATATTTTTAGTTATTATATTGTTGATTGAAGTCAACTCAGATTACTATGCTTATAAAAATCCAGATTTTATAAAGTTTGTAAATAAAAAGACAATGTGGGATATTTCATTATATTCTAATTTTGTTATACTAAGTCAGTGATGGCAAACCTTTTAGAGACCAAGTTCCCAATCTGCAGCCCAAAACCCACTTATGTATCATCGGGTGCCTGGTGCATGTGGCCCAGTGGGTGGGCATGGCCCATTGGGAGGGCATGGTCTATTTGGTGGGCATGGCTTCGGTGGCAACGGCAGATTGGGTGGGACTAAAAAGTTCAATCAATCAATTTCAACTTTGCGAGATCTTTTTTTCCTGCGAGAAGTTAAAATTGATTGATTGAACTTTTTTTTTTCCACACGGCAACGGAGGCCTAAAGAGAAAAGGTTTTATAAAACCCAGCTGAAGGCCTAGGCCTAGGGCGACAGTGCGTGTGCCCACAGAGAGGGCTCTGCGTGCCACCTGTGGCACGCGTGCCGTAGGTTCGCAACCACGGTACTAGGTTATATTCTAATATTGTTGCATATTGCATTAGATTTTTACTCTGCTGTTTTCATCTTGAGTATTGTTTTATGATGTGTTCCTAAATTTTGGGCATAGTGAATCTACATCATGACTGCTTTGAGGGTTATACAGAGTTTCACATTTATTATTCATATGTAGATAGCATTAACTGTAATAAAATTGCAAATCATAATTATAGACAGAACTTAATTCAAAAGAGACACATTTAATTATTTCCCTACATATTGCATTTTGGTTAATGTTTATTATTTCTTTAAAGAGAAAAAGACCTCACAGCTTTTTGTATTAAGCAGTTAAAATGCCTGAGTAAAGGATTAAGCTTTCTCCTTTTGATCCTAGACTACATATCATACATAGATTAACAAATATATGCTGACTAAATCCTTTATTCTATACCACATTATTTATTCAGTTAAGTTAGACCTCTGGCCCAGTGGTCTATTTATGTGTCATATTTCTATAATAATCAATACCCAAAGCAGTTAACAGTAAACATTAATTTTCCCAACACATAAGATAAAGATCAATTTGCTAGAAAAACAGAAATAAATCTTAAAAATTCAATATAAGCAGCAGAGCATAAATATAGTATTACAGTAAAACAACTTCTACAAAACAAAATCAAAATTAACAGTTCACTTATATTTTACTAAATGCAGAGCATTTGTGCAAATGCACACAAGTTCAGTTTCGTATTTTGTCATTCAAATAACTGAAATGGGAAGTATGATAGTATTTCTTCATCTTATGTATTGTATACTCAAGAAAAACTTAGTTATCTGATGCAAAAATGGTGAAGTGTCCCATCTACTTTAAAAAAAAAACAACAACCCATAAAGTATCAGTACTAAGGCTCTTAATGAACTTGGACACAGATGTTGGCTAGAAGCCAGTCTGTAATTCCAGTGCTTTGTGATTCATAATTGGAGGCGAGATCACAGAATTGCCAGGGGTCTATAGTTTTCCCACTGTTTACCACACAGAACAATCACAGATGTGGTCTTAAATTTCAGAACCAGAGAAAGAGAACTCAGTGCCAAAAAGGATTAAATGCTAACTAAAACTAATTACTCCAGTATACATAAAATTAACCCAACTCTCACGAAAGATTCCCCCCTGTTCACTCAATCGTATAATTTCAGATTTCTTCAACTTAGTCTGAAAAATTTAGTTAAAGCATATTAATATTTAGTCGGCATTGTGGGTCCTTAGTCCAAGCTGATTTTTTTTTCATTCTTCAGGGCACACTGCAAAAATTCCTGGATGACTTATTTCGAGCCATTCTGAGTATCCGAGATGACAGGCCACCCTTGGCAATTAAATATTTCTTTGATTTCTTGGAAGAGCAAGCAGAGAAACGGGGGATCTCTGACCCAGACACATTGCACATTTGGAAAACCAACAGGTTTGGGAAAGAATTTCCATCTTTTCTGTCTTAACTACAGGCCTACTTCTGAACAAGTGCCTTTGATTCAGTGATGGGATTCAAATAGGTGAACAACTGGTTCTCTGTATGGATGCCACTTCTGGAAGTCCATTCTGGGCCTTGGCAACAAAAATTAGCTACTGGTTCTGCCGAAGTGGTGCGAAGTGGCTGAATCCCACCACTGCTTTGATTCCCCTGGCAATTTCTCAGGAGGAAGCATATGTAGAAAATGAATGAGAGAAAAATGAAAGAGAGCAAGAAGTTAACTTCAGAACTGCAGCTGTCCAATGCTTTTCAAATTCACACCAGGCAAATTCCAGGTTCAGGAATGGATAAACATTATGAAATGTCCATATAAATTTATGTATTTCTAGTACTTAGAAAATAACTATAGACTTTTTTATTAAAAGTGAGAAAATATCCCTTTGACGTATAGATTACCTGACTGAATTGGCAGCAATCAATACATTTTTACAGTTTTTTTAGTACATACTGTATTTTCTCAAAGCAAGAAGATCTTATAACACTACAGCAATGATGGCAAACCTTTTAGAGGCTGAGCGCCCAAACTGCAACCCAAAACCCACTTCTGTATCATCGAGTGCTGGGTGGGTGTGGCCCATTGGCTGGGTGTGGCTCTGGCTGGGCGTGGCCCATTGGCTGGGTGTGGCTGCGGTGGTAACGGTGGGACTAAAAGGTTTAATCAATCAATTCCAACTTTGCAAGATCTTTTTTTTTCCCCGCAAGAAGTTGAAATTGAGTGATTGAACCTTTTTTTTTTTTTTTTTTTGCACATGGCAGCGGAGGCCTAAAGCGAAAAGGTTTTATAAAACCCAGCTGAAGGCCTAGGACTGGGGTGACGATGCACGTGCCCACAGAGAGGGCTCTGAGTGCCGCCTCTGGCACCCGTGCCATAGGTTCGCCACCACTGCCCTATAGCTCACCCGGGGCAAATCCCTTCACATTATTCTACCAATAGGGCAGCACAACTTCTGTGATTTAAAGGGACAAGTCTGTACATGTAGTCCTCGACTTATGACCACAATTGAGCCCAAAATTTCTGTTGCTAAGTAAGACATTTCTTAAGACATTTGCCCCATTTTACAATCTTTCTTGGCCCGTTGTTAAGTGAATCACTGCAGTTATTAAGTTAGTAACACTGTTGTTAAGTGGATCTGGCTTCCCCACTGATTTTGTTTGTCAGAAGTTCAGAAAAGTGATCACATGACCGTGGGACACTGCAACTGCCATAAATATGAGTCATTTGCCAAATGTCTGAATTTTGATTACATGACCATTCCACAACGATCGTGTGAAGTCACTTTTTTCAGTGCCATTGTAACTTTGAACAGTCACCAAATGACCTGTTGTAAGTTGAGGACTAATCTTTCTTATGTTGCTGAAGTCATATGTTTTATTGAACTCTAAGCAGATATTTTTGCACTATGAAATCAACTTCTATAGATGTTATAGATTAATCTCTATATTTAACAAAAATAGAAAAGTTAGAATGGAAGAAGGATGTTTAGGCAACAAATATGATGGTCAAAGATCATTCCCATTAGACCAATTTCATCAGCTGGCAATCTTGCTGTTTTTAGATCCTAACAGTTAATATATTATTTAATTTATTTCACTCTCTAATTGAAAGATGTAAGAATCAACATGATAATTATCACTGTGAATTTTGTTCTGTAGCCTACCTCTGAGATTTTGGGTCAACATTCTGAAGAACCCCCAATTTGTCTTTGATATCGACAAAACTGACCACATAGATGCCTGTCTTTCTGTAATAGCTCAGGCCTTCATTGATGCCTGTTCCATCTCTGACCTGCAGTTGGGCAAGGTACGTAATGGGCAATGAGGATGATGTTTTCATCTGCTGTTCCACTCAACAATATTTCTGGTTGTCTTGTGACTAGCATCTATGTGGTAAAGAATATTAAGGGAGGAGAGAGGAAACTCAATGTTCCTGTTAGGAAAATGAGAACCAAAATTGAAAAATTAACAGGTATATACATTTAATTCTATTTCATTCTATTTCATCATTATTTAATAAACAATAATGATCAAATACAAGTCAGGAACATTATTAACCACCAGAAAGCTTTCTTCTATCACCTATGATAGTTTACTCCCTGGGCTAAGATATCTAAGTCACCATCTAAAGTTACTTCTAGTCACTATTACCATCTTTTGTAAAATAAAATTAAATAAATAAATAAAATAATAATAATAATAATTTACGTCTCACCATATTTTTTATGGGAGAGACACTCTTTGTCTGACTCCTCTGATGAGACCTGTCCAGTATGGTTGAACCTCTGGCATAGCTCTCATCTTCCTCAGAGTACACAAGCCCCACAACCACATCAAGGTAGTGCCTCACTGGGGGGATTGCAGAATGCCATACCGGCTCAGACGTCGCCCGGGTTAACAAGGTCCGCACTAGATATTGGAGTTCCTGGATATCTGGTGAAAAATGGGTTACAGGACTCAGGACTGTTGGCTGAGCAACCAGGGCCAGCAGCTGCAGAACTACTGGAAGAAAAGATGTTTACCCATCGCAGATACACAGTGATTGAAAACAAAGAAATAATGATCTGTTACTACAGATCAAGTCCAACAAGAAGAGGATATCTAAAACGAATGCACCAGTTCTGGAAAGAACAATATCCAGAATCAGAAATAACAGAATAGAGACTAGCAGATCAACGCCAATTTATAACACGAAATAAAGTATTCACAGAAACAGAATTGGACGAACTGCAAAGAAATCAAAGCCTTACCAGAAGTAATTCAGAATGTAGAGGCAAACCAGGGGGAGTTGGCAGTGAAGGAATCCAGCAGAGATATACAACTGTTCTCATTTGGAAACCAGGCACCTCTTCCTCAGGAAGAACAAAACCCTCTAACTAAAGAAATAAAAGAATTGAAACAAAGAATAACTGAGCATCTAGAACAGCACAAAAATAACAGAATAAGGCTACCTGCATTGAAGCTTGTTCCAATGCACAAGCATTAAAAGATGCAAATACTGCAATATCAAGTATAAGCACCAATTCACTGCAAGAAACAAACCAACTAATGTACAGCACAGCTGCAGTTATAACAGAATACCTGGGATGCAAAATCAACAAAAAAGAAAAACAAACAAACAGTGCACCAGAAAAATGGAAGGTTAGACTAGAAAATAAGATCAGCAAGTTAAGATCACATGCAAGCAAGCTAGAACAGATGAAAGAAAAGAAGCTGAAGAACAAGAAGACCAAAGAATACCTAATCAAGAAATACCACTTAGAAACAAGGAAGATCAAGGAAGCACTGGAAATAATAAAGCAACAAATAACAGCTATAGCCAGGAAAATCAGTAGATATGAAGCTCGAATTGCAAACTATAGGCAGAACCTCCAATTTCAATCCAATCAGAAACGTTTCTACCAATCCATCAATGGAGAAACTGCAAGGAATCAGTCAGTACCTGACAAGGAAGAAACAGTGCAGTTCTGGAAGCAGATATGGGATAACCCAAAGAAATACAACAAGGATGCGGCTTGGTTAAAAGAGGTGGATGCAAATAAAACAGAAGTTGAAATGAAAGAACTAGTAATAACAACAAAAATGGTAGAAAAAAGAGCAAAGAAAATCAAAAATTGGTCAGCACCAGGTGAAGATGAACTGCATGGGTTTTGGTTGAAACATCTAACTGTTATACACCCACTCATTGCCAAGCAGTTCAACAATATACTACAAGGAGGAGAAATTGAAAAGTGGCTAACAACTGGGAAAACCTACCTAATAATGAAAAATCCAGCAAAAGGGGCAACACCAGGCAATTACAGGCCAATTACCTGCTTACCAACAACTTCCAAATTACTAACTGGTGTAGTAGCTGATGAAGTGCAACAGCATCTAGTTGAAAACAATCTCTTTCCACCTGAGCAGAAAGGAAACCGCCCCAATAGCAGAGGAACAAAAGATCAACTCCTAATAGACAAAATGATCTTGGAAAACTGCAAGAGAAGGAAGACCAACCTGAATGTGGCATGGATTGACTACAAAAAGGCATTTGACTCTCTGCCACATGATTGGATAATAAAGTGCCTAGAAATAACAGGAGTCAGTAGAAACATCAGAAAATTTGTGCAAAGATCGATGGCACAATGGAAGACACAGTTGCAGATCAATGGTGAGAGGCTGGGAGAGGTTAATATCAAGAGAGGAATATTTCAAGGAGATTCATTATCACCATTACTATTTGTTATTGCACTGTTTCCTCTGTCAACAATACTGAATAACTCAGGACATGGCTATCAAACATCAAAAACATCTGCCAGACTATCCCACCTCCTTTATATGGATGATCTGAAGCTGTATGGAAAAACATCATCTGAAATAGAATCGCTGCTCAACACTGTCCGTATATATAGCCAAGATATTGTAATGGAGTTTGGCTTGGACAAATGTGCCACACTTACTATCAAACAAGGAAAAATAATGAAAACTGAAGGAATCAAGATGCCCCACGAAAATAACATTAAGAGTCTGGATGAGGAAGAGTACTACAAATACTTGGGTATCCTTCAAGCTGACAACATCAAGCACACTTAAGTCAAGAAAAAGATTAGAGGTGAATACATCAAGAGAGTGAAGAAGATCTTAAAATCCAAACTCAATGGAGGAAATACCATAAAGGCAATCAACACCTGGGCAATCCCAGTCATTAGGTACACAGCTGGAATAGTGGACTGGACTCAAGCAGAACTAAAAGCAATGGATAGGCAGACCAGAAAAATAATGACAATGAATCATGCCCTTCATCCACGCAGTGACATTGATAGACTTTATCTACCAAGGCAAATAGGTGGGCGTGGAATGCTACAAGTACATCAGATGGTTGAAGAAGAAAAAATGGCTTTGGAAGAATATCTGAAGAACAATGATGAAGATGCACTGAAATTAGTATATCAGGAAGGCTTACTAACTACTGGAGAGACCAAACTGGCCTACAAGAAAGACCAAATGAAGAACAGAATAGAGGCATGGGAAGACAAAGCACTACATGGCCAATACATGAAAAAAATAGCTGGGAAAGCAGATAATAATAAAACCTGGCAATGGCTAAGAGCAGGAAAATTGAAGAAAGAGACCGAGGGACTAATTCTGGCTGCACAAGACCAAGCCTTAAGGACAAATGCATACAAAGTCAAAATTGAGAAGACAGCAACAGACAGTAAGTGCCGCCTCTGCAAAGAAGCTGAAGAAACAGTGGACCACTTGGTAAGCTGTTGCAAGAAGATTGCACAAACTGATTACAAGCAGCGGCATGACAAAGTAGCAACAATGGTGCATTGGAAGATCTGCAAAAAATATCATTTGCCTGTAAGCAAAAACTGGTGGGATCATAAAATAGAGAAAGTCATAGAAAATGATAAAATTAAACTGCTCTGGGACTTCAGAATTCAAACAGACAAGCACCTGCAACATAACACCCCAGACTTAACAATTGTCGATAAGAAAGACAAAAAAGTCTGGATAGTGGACGTGGCAGTGCCTGGAGACAGCAGAATAGAAGAGAAAGAACTGGAGAAGATAACAAAATACAAAGACCTACAAATAGAAATAGAAAGACTGTGGCAAAAGCAAGCAAGGGTAGTACCAATAGTCATAGGCTCCTTGGGTGCAATCCCAAAACAACTGGAGCACCACTTGAACACCATTGGCATTGACAAATTCGCTATTAGTCAATTGCAAAAGGCGGCCTTATTAGGAACTGCTTCCATCCTGCGACGATATCTGTAATACCATCAAACATCCACATCTGCCTATCCCAGGTCCTGGGTAAGGACTCGATAGGTAGACAAAATGCCAAATCCAGTCTGAACATCTGGCTGACTGTGCGATGATCGGTAATAATAATAATAATAATAATATAATAATAATAATATAATAATAATAATAATAATAAGCAAGGGTAGCAAGCAAGGGTAGTACCAATAGTCATAGGCTCCTTGGGCGCAATCCCAAAACAACTGGAGCACCACTTGAACACCATTGGCATTGAATTTGCTATTAGTCAATTGCAAAAGGCGGCCTTATTAGGAACTGCTTCCATCCTGCGACGATATCTGTAATACCATCAAACATCCACATCTGCCTATCCCAGGTCCTGGGTAAGGACTCGATAGGTAGACAAAATACCAAATCCAGTCTGAACATCTGGCTGACTGTGCGATGATTGAGAATAATAATAATAATAATAATAGAGTCACATTGTTATAAACAGCCCAAGATTGCAAGTCCCATCTCCCAGAATTATGACTTGGGCAATTTCATGATAATCTACAAAGTAGATAATTACCTTTTTATTACTTCATGTCAATCTGCCATGAGTTTCTGTGTATAAGAGTTTTCTGACCCTTGAAAGAATTGCAAATGCTTAGTAAGACGTCTAATTTAGAAGTTTGTTTCCTGATTAGTATCAGATACTTTTTAATGCACATCTAGAATTGTCAGGCTCAAGTGCATGAACTGGCATTACTAAAGTCATAGCAATAAGGAGTATACAACCTATTTCCTGGGAGTTGGACAATTTGGTACTTAGAATTCTCTCTCCTTGCTATAACTATAGGAAGAGCAATCCTATTTTAAATTTAATCCTCAAAGGGCACCATAATCTAATATGTATGAATAGAATTAGGCTCTAGATTAGAAGACGAGAAGATGGTAAGGTGTAAATCTATTTTTCTTATTAGGTATCTCGCCTATCATAAAGTTTGAATTTTTGTACTTGGTTATCACAACCTTCTTAAATATTGGTTTTCAAGGTAATCTGACACCAGGAAGCCAAAACTAATTTATGGATCCCAAGGAAATCTAATGCTGATTTATAGCCCTTTGAGTGCTACAGAGATTTAATTGTAACAAAACCCTGTTTTGCACTGTTATTGAAGTGAATCCGGAGAATTTAATATACTTCCTTGAGGCATTTTGTTGAGGGGTATAATTTAGTCCTTTAATTAGACATCAATATAAATATAAATAAAGGTGGGTGTATGTTATGTGTAATGTGGCAGCATGGGATACCGAGTGATATATGTTTTAGAAAATAATACTCTGCTAAGAAATTTAGCACTCTCTTGGAATTATCTTTAAATATTCCTTTGTGAATACTGGTCTGTAGACTAATTCAATTAATTATATTTATCACATGCTATAACATACATTGAATCATATCTTGGGAAGCTAATGCAAAGATAACTGCTCCTTTCAACCCAGTGGTTTTTGAACTTACCAGTGCATACATTTATATTTTATCAGGGGAAGGGCATATAATTAATCTTAAATACTACTGTATCTTTCCTTTGCGTTTCAATTTTTCTTTCTTTTTTTTTTAAGAAAAAATAATTAATCATTGAAAAAATAATGAGTTCCCTCTGGATTTTTGTCTCTAGGATTCACCTACTAATAAATTATTATATGCTAAGGAGATTCCTGAGTATAGAAAAATTGTACAGAAGTATTACAAACAGATCCATGACATGCCACCTCTTAGCGAACAGGAAATGAATGCCCACCTAGCAGAGGAATCCAGGGTAAGAAATCTCCTCTTTTATAATGTATCAGTTTCAGATTTGTCTCGTATGACAATTTCTCCAACTCTTACCAGGAGTACTTTTAATCCCAGACAATTATGAGGATACAGGTGGTCCTCGACTTACAACAGTTCACTTACCTATAACCATCTTTCACTCTTACAACCGTTGAAGCATCCCCACAGCCACATGATAAAAAATCATTGGTAATTGACTCACATTTATGACGGTTGCCGTGTCCCAGAGTCATGTGACCCCTTGTGCGACCTTCTGACAAGCAAAGTCAATGGGGAAGCCAGATTTACTTAACAACCACGTTACTAACATAGCCACTGAAGTGAGTCATTTAACAACTGTGGCAAGAAAAGTCATAAAATGTGGCAAAACTCACTTAACAAACAACTCGCTTAGCAACAGAAATTTTGGACTCAATTATGGTCATAAATCGAGGATTACCTGTATTGCTTTCATGTTTAATTAAAAGCACTTTTTTATTTTCTAGGCAAACAATGTTCAAGAGTGCTATTTAAGTATTATTTAAGTATTAAGTATTATCAGGAATCAAACTAAAATTTGCTTGACTATAAATCAGTAAAGAGATTTTTTTCCTTGGCCACAATGCATTTTCATTTTTTTCCTGCATTACTCATAAGTTATGTATGTCACATAGTAATTAGCTGACTTTGAAAACAATCAGAGTTCAAATATGCTGATGCAGCAGAGAGCACCATCCAATGCAAGTAGAATTCTAACCCAATTGATTCCTGTCAAAAAGAGTGGATATGATTTAGTGTAAAGTGAAGTAATGTTCTTTGTTTGTTTTATTCTTCATGAAGAAATATCGGAATGAGTTTAACACCAATGTTGCCATGACAGAGATTTATAAATATGCCAAAAGATACCGCAGTCAGGTGAGTCACTTCCTTGATCTGATAGGAAGAAGTTGTTTTATCTGTCAGTTCAGATTTATGTTACCTTGTAGCAGCAGTGGTTGAGGATAACCACGTTTGCATAGCGAAATATTCGACATGTATCTTTTGCATGCTTAACTACTATACCAAAACCTGAATTTGCATTGAATTAATATTACTAATGTTATTATCTCATAGCTGTAGACGTAAAAATATGAATCCAGATCACGAGGGAGCAACATGCAGTTCACGATCTGTTTGCCCTCGTCAAACTTTTTGCAGTTTTCAGGATCAATTTGCCATTGCAGTTCAATAGCAAGCCACTCTATCAGATACCACTAACAAACCATTTGAAAACATCTTTAGTTATCTGAAAGGATTAGAATTAGCTTGATGTAATCAAGACTCTCAGCCATTCCATTCATAAGCCAACTGTAAAAACGGCAGTTTCCACAAGGTGTGGCTATCCGGAGTCACATGAAAGATCTCAGTGACCCTTCGTTGTTATAGCGAGATTATGCCAGCTCAGATCCAGCATCCATTCCTCTTGGAAAAGCTGTGTTGTTAGCCAGCAGAAGCCATCAAGACATCAGCTTCCCATGGTGCTTACAGGAAGTATCCAATTTCATTTTGTTTTCTTCGTGCAATTAATTTCTCAGACATTTACTGGCTGATTTTTCCCCTTTGGCCTTGCTTACTTTTTTTATTGCCCCATCAGTCCCAAATGCATACTTTTTTTTCAATTTAGCCTTTGGCAAACCAATGACACTGTTACCCGAGCCCAAATTGTTCTCTTCCATAATCCATTTGCATAATCAGTAGATTTGAAAAGTGCTAATAACTCAAATTATTTAATGCTTCTAATAATTAGATCCCATTGAGATAGTAAAATATTAGCTCCAGAGTAAAAGAAGCTACAAAATGCAGATCTTGCACGGGTTGTCAGTTTTAAGGATGATTATATCACTTCAGAAAAAAAAAAGAACTTCACGTCAGTTAGTACTTCTTAGATTCTTTTCATATAAACACATCCAATATTCCCTTCCTCTCCCACCCCACACAACTGCTACATCTCAGACTTTTTACAGAAAATCTTTTAAAATACTATGAAAATATTATGCACAAACTGAAAAACACAGAATGTAGTTGGTGGTATTTTTATTACTTAAAAACACCTGTTAATTTGTAAATCTAAAAAATATTACACATGATTTTAAAGCACTGTTATCTAAGCCTAGCTGTTCTTAACATTCTGTATAAAAATGCATTTTTGTACCAGGATCAATTGGGCAGCTTGTAGCTTCTAAGTTGTTGCAGTGTATTACTTTGCCATAAGAATGAAAAATTCTCATTCTGCTACACTAACAGCACTTCCCTATACAGCCATCCTCAGATATTAAGTCCAATAGGACTTACTCCCATGCAAGTACAGTGCAAACTATGGCTAATGAAGTCAAATGTACCTCATTTGGCAGCTCTTCTTTCTTTGGCTCAATGCAATTTATCCAAGCTTTATCCAAGCTTAAGCTTGGGATAAAATTCAGAGAAGAGCAACTAAAACAATCAAAGGCCTGGAATCTAAAACATATGAAGAATGGCTGCAGGATTTGGGTTTGCTAGTCTAAAGAAAAAAAGAAACAGAGGCAACATGATAGCAGTATTCCAGTATTTGAGGGGTCGCCACAAAGAAGAAGGAGTCAAACTATTCTCCAAAGCACCAGACAAGAAACAATGGTTGGAAACTGACCAAAGAGAGAAGCAACCTGGAATTAAGGAGAAACTTCCTAAAAGTGAGAACAATTAACCAATGGAACAGCTTGCCTTCAGAAATCATGGGCACCCCAACACTGGACGTTTTTAAGTCACTTGTCTGTAATGGTAATAGGTTGTCCTGTTTGAGCAGGGGGCTGGACTAGAAGACCTCCAAGGTCCCTTCCAACTCTATTTTGTTCTATTCTATTCTAAGCTACAGTTTCTTTTAGAAATAAAGTGGGAAATCACTTATTGCAGTTTAACAACAACATTAGATTTCCAACCAGTATCAACCCATATTTTATAATCCTATGTTATAGTAAACCAGCAGAATGTTATTTATAAAGAGTGTCACCAGACAAACACAATGGAAATCTTTGGTTTTCTACCATAAGTAAAACCAAAAATGTAATTGACCATCCAGCTTCAGAAAGTCCAGTGTGCATCTTCTTTTCTTCCATTCACAAAGAGGGCACAACATAGCCATGTCATCAGATTTGTTCCTTTCTTTTTCCCATATTTGTGATCACCCATCTACATTGTTTACATACAAAACAGACTTATGGTCCTTGGTGCTCTCTGAATTTGGTTATTTTCTTGAAGATGGTTCATTATCCAAACTAGGTAACATCATCAGAGAATTGATGACATTACCTAGTTTGAGTAATGAAATGTCTGCAAGACCCCTCATTTCAACCCTGAGATACAAATATTCTCCTTTAAACATCTATGGTCCCTCCACACCAACACCAGTCTTACTCCCCAGCTACAGGAACAGTTTATTACAACCTGCAGTTGTGTTTTCTGCATCCCATCTCAAAGCTACAATGCTCCCTGCTGCTGATTGATTGCAAAAACCAGTACCGAAACAGTCTCTAACTCCGTCATTGCTGTTGTTTATTAATAGAATAGAATAGAATAGAATAGAATAGAATAGAATAGAATAGAATAGAATAGAAGCTGGAAGGGACCTTGGAGGTCTTCTAGTCCAGCCCCTTGCTCAGGCAGGATAACCTATACCATCTCAGACAAGTGACTGTCCAGTCTCTTCTTAAAAATCTCCAGTGATGGAGCGCCCACGATTTCTGGAGGCAAGCTGTTCCACTGGTTGATTGTCCTCACTGTCAGGAAGTTTCTCCTTAATTCCAAGTTGCTTCTCTCCTTGACCAGTTTCCAATCATTGTTTCTCGTCCTTCCCTCTGGTGCTCTGATGAACAACCTGCCCCCTCTGCCTTGTGGTAGCCCCTCAGATACTGGAACACTGCTATCATGTCTCCCCTATTTCTTCTTTCCTTTAGACTAGCCAAACCCATGTTCCGTAGCTGTTCTTTGTATGTTTTAGTCTCCAGGCTTTTGATCATCTTAGTTGCTCTTCTCTGAATTTGGTAACCTCCATACTGGTTGATCAAGTAATAACAATTCCCACTTCCCCCCACTTCACCCCTGCCTTCTCCATGTGTCCTTAGATTTTAATATTTGGTTTTAATTTATTTATGTTTTAATGTAAATGTTTAGATATATTTTTATGATTGTAAGCCTCCCAGAGTTACCCTGTGGTAAGAGGAGTGGCTAATAAATTTTATAAATAAATAGATATTGTGGGTAGAGGAAGGTGAACACATTTCCACTGCACTTTTCACTCATTCAGCATAAGATGCTTCTACTCAAAATAAAACCAAAGATCTATATTACGTATTTATTTAACAAATTTATAAAGCCCCGCATCTCACAGGACATGACTCTGGTTCGAATATAACCTTGGTGACCAATTAAAATAATATAACTATTATTAAAACACTGAAGTACAATTAAAAGAAAAAACATAGGAAGAACTAGATTGCAGGAGAACACCAAGCCCACATAATACAGCCACCTCCCAAGGAAGCTCCCATGGAACTCTCACCATCTCAGATAGGAAAGTAGAACATTTCTTACTTGGGCTGTGTTGCCACAAAAGTGACACTAAAAAGGAGAAAGAGGGTATAGGGGTTGATCCACTGGTAACATCAGAGCCTTTTGTGGTAGTGCCCTTACTTCCAAGTAAGCATGTATAAAAATAACCGCTATTCTGTGCTAATGCTAAAAGATAGCCATGTATTTTCAACAGAGCAAAAATGTGAAGCCAAGCCCCATAGCTTCCCCACTGAAGGTTTGTTCCCGGGTGGAGAGTATCTCTGGAAAAGAAAGATGTTTGCCACTGTCACTCCTCAACCAAGCAATATTCTGAATGCCTTTTCTGGTCCTAGAATATAAATCAAAAAAGTTTGTAATTCTTCACAGCTAAAGCAGTTATTCTTTATAATTAAAGGGACAAGCAGCTACACTATCAATAATGATTTTCTATCATAATCCTTCTTCTCCTGACATTGCCGTTTTATTGTAATGGACTGTGAGAATAACCTTGGGAAACAAAAGGAAGAGCCACAAATTTGGTTTCCTCTCTGGACTGTCTCAAAGGGTTGGCATTTATCTTCCCATATAGTGCTGTAGCTAAACTTGTTTCTAAGTAAAAACAGTTAACATTTGAGGATAAGACCCATACAGGTCTCTGATTTCTAATCTAGTCAATTTCACAAGCACATCAGACAATCCAAAGTAGTAAATTTCACAATCTTTTTTCTGCCTTGGACTCTAAAATTTATAAGTTAACAGAAAGCCTCAATGCCTTCCACCAAATTTGTTGGTGGAAGGCATTGAGGCTTTGTCCTTTGTTCCCTCCTTGCCATATTTTTATTTTGCTGATTTAGAATTATAAAGAAAGGAAAGAACAGAGTGAAATCCCCCTAATTAGATAGCTAATTATATTGTCAGGAACGGAAGGTGAAGTAGTTCATTCTGGATTGGTTGAAAGTACAGTGGACAATGGTGGAACAAATGAGTTGCTTTAGATTATTCAAATTGCTGTATGTACAAATTGAAAATGCAAAGAGCAGATTAAAGTAAAATGTAAGAAAGAAAAAAAATCACAACAAAGAAAGCAAGAGCACTTGAGAGAACTGGTGCCAAAGAGATGTAATTTGTAAACCTGAACTGCAAGACAAATTGCAGAATAAAGACTCTTATTCCAATAGATCACTCATCTTTGCCAAAGACAATTCCTTTTTTCCCCCCTCTTATCCACAATGGTGAAGACATTGCAAGATGTAAAACCTTAAATAGTTTTCCTTCAATAAAAAAGAGGAATCAGTAAAGGAATAACGCAGGAGGGTTTCAAGGAAATAGTTCCCTGGAATCTTCTAAAAACATTAAGTTTATTTCTCAAAAGCTGAGTGTTAACAAGACGATGCACCATCCATTCCTTTAGACCACTGTTTCCCAAACTTGTAATGGCTATGGTTGCTGGAGAATCCTGGGAATTAAAAAGCACATATCTGGAAATTGCCCCAGTTGAAAAACACAAGTATAAATCATTATAGTAATAAGGAAATACAACAATCAGCAATGTAAAAGATGGGTGGAAATCAGTTTAAACAGGTAGATGATTTAAGAACTTGAATGACATAAATTGAGTGGACCCAGGGCTTTTTTTGTCACAGAACACCCAGAACGGAGTTCCGGCACCTTTTTTGGATGGAACCTTGTAGGGTAGGCAAGGCGGGTTGTATGACATGTGTGAGCTCCGGCACCTTTTTTTTTTTTTTTTACAAAAGCACTGAGTGGACCTAAATCAAACACATTTTCCTGGAGAAAAAGTCATGAGTAGTCATGCATAAGACTGCATTCATTATCTAAGTAAAAAAAAAAAAAAATCTCACGTTTGTTTAATTCCTTGTTTCCTCAGATAGTGAATGCGTTGGACTCCAATTCTACCACAAGACGCACTCAGCTGCAGCACAAATTTGAGCAAGTGATTGCACTTATGGAAGATAATATTTACGAGTGCTGCAGTGAAGCATAGGTATCAGCCTGAACTTTGTTCCTGTGTTTAGAAGTGACCTTCTCTGCAGTGCACTGTCTTTTAAGAAACACCCTTTTAAAGTCATTGTTTGTCAATATGTACCCCATTGTATGTATATGATGATTAAGAAACCAACTTGATAGCAGATCTGCCCATGTTACACTATCTGGAGAACTGAGCGGTGTCCACTAAACAGCTTGAAATTTACTACAGGATCTGCACTGCATGGCTCCCATAACTTATTTGCTGTCCTGTTCGACTTCAGAATGGCCATCTTTTACTTCATTCGTTTTCCCAGAGAAAATCTTTGCGCACCAAAGATCAGGATACGGAGATAATGCTAAGATTGTTGAGAGAAAAGCAGCAACATCTCAGGGAATAATGAATGAAAGTTTCAAAAGGCTCTCAGATCCACAAAGGAATTCTCTCTAAACAGTGCCCCTCTTTCTTCTGTGTACTTTAAATATCAGGGAATCCATTTACTGTACACAGTTTGCTGCATTATATTGTATTTTGTGCCTTTTATTTTTGTACTATATGTGTAACATAGCCACACCGTCCTCCAACATAGGAAAGAGGTGGAGATTTCATAGGGTCCACAATGCAGTTCCTTCCCGAATAGACACGGCATATGAAAGCACTTTATCTCATCACAAAAATGGCTGTTACCTTGCTGAAAGGATCGTTGTTGGGTAGCAAACAAGAGTCAGAAAACAACCAATCAGTGCAGCTGCTCCCACTTCTCCAAGCTTCCCAGATATTCCTGTAGGTTGACTTGCACTTGGCAAATTCTCGGACTGCCCTCGGACTGCTTGAGGAATAGTTTTCCACAGAAGGAAAAGTATACGCATGCTGCAGGGTCAAAGGACTGTGCTTTCTTCCCTTATTCTGCCCCTGTTAGTTGAAAGGGTATATATAGGGCTGAACTTTCAGCTCAGCTTAAACCCAAAGTTCCTAACAGTTGGCTTAATGCAAGGCCGCTGTTAATTTTCACTAGAACAAAAAGAATGGTATATATTTCTGTTCCAATTTCTATCTGAAGGGGACTTTTTTGTGTGGTGTCCTGCATTTGCCAGCATCATTGCAAAGTGTCGTGTGTTTCTAAATTTGATGATGCCTGAAACGTTCCCTTTATCCTTTCATTGTCCTCTCTGTTGTGAAGGAGAGACTATCAGTAGTTCTAGTACTCTCAAAATTCCCCTTTAGTACCTTAGGTAGATGCCTTCAGGCAATGGCTGTTTTGTATAAGAAGATGAAAACTCATCATAAACGCTGAGGCCAACTCACGCCCTTGACAATGCCAAGCTCATGAACTGCCAAATAATGCTCAAGCATACCACACTACCTCACCAAAACCAAGGGAGTCTAAAGAGGAGTTGCCACAGTTTTGAGGCTGAGTTGATTGTGAGGTGGGAATTGAATTTCAGTTTTTTAATCAAAATCTTGTCCTTGACAGTTACCTTACTTCAGATACAACTTTCCAAAATGCCTAGTATTAGTAGATTATTTGAGGAACTGGCATGTCATGATGGTTTTTATATATTGCTATATTGAAATACCGATTTTATCCATGGCAAAAAAAAGAGGAATATGGAAGACCTGAAAACAGAACTTCAAAAAGTTACACTCACTGAAGAAATGTATATGTATTTGCCAAGAGACTGGTTGTGGAAGAGAAATTTAAGAATGTAGCTGGGCTACATTTAACTTGACAGAAGTTGTTTGTTTCCTTCAAAATTATTATTATTTTTAATTATGAGGAGCTGCCCAGTAACACACAAACTTAAAGAAAACTCAGGAATGGGAGGATGGAAACCTATTCTGGATTATCATGTCTGCAGAGGAGGGAAATGGATTGCAACTGAAGCAGGTTTAACAAATGTGCTAGTTTTGTCTGTGCAGGAAGCTGTAATTTTGGCATCAGCAGCCTAGTTCCTACATAGAATTGGGTGAGCAGAAAGCTCTTGACTGACCTTCCTTTCCCCTGGAAAGTCCTATCCTGGGTATAACTAGAGGTAGTTGTGAGTGTTCCAAGCCGTGTGCTTGATGCACAAGTGTGATGGCATATGCTTTGTTATTTAATTCTATGTTCAAATATTAGCTACAGTCATTGAAAAGAAATAAGTTGTCTGCAAGGTGGAAACTGAGGGGAGCCCAACTTTATTGTAATATATATATATTATAACTTTGTCAAGTTATTTGTGAGTGTTTTTCCCCTTTACCTGCTGTTTAATGGAAGTGGCAAAATCCTTCAAGTGCTGGGGGATATCTTTGTAATAAAATAAGTTGATCAAATTTAAGTGGTAGTGTGTCCATTCAGCAAATTCTCATCCTTTTAGACAATTAAAATAAGTACCGTAGCACAAAGTTTGTCAAGCTGTAAAAGCCACTGAAATAGTCCATCTGGACAAAGTTTAGGCTTGTGGGATCTATTACTCTGAGATCCACAAAACTGAATTAGGCCAAAAAACATACAACTAAAAAAGGACATTGTTTATGAGAATTCATATTTGTAGGAATCCTGACTTTATTCATTCATTAGCATTGTTCCCATATTTCATATTTCTCCATTAGGATAATCTACTGAAAAATAGAGGAGCTTCTTCTATCCAACAAATGGAATAATTAGCATACATTAGGACAGGGATTTTTTTTAAAAAAAAATAGGTTGCCTTTCAGAACATATGTATAACAAGAGAAAAACTAGCAGCTGCACTTAAAATTTAGAGAAACAGTAACACCTAATGGGCATGACTACATCATGCAGTTTGGTTAATAGCATTATGGTTTTCATAGTTTTTCTGGATTATTGGCAGGTGGTGTAGAGTTCTGTTGTTTTTTAATGGTGATGGCCTTGTTTTATCATGGTTGGGTGGTATTTTTCACTACAAAATGATATGAAACAGTGTCACTGCTTTTTGGCACTTTGCTGTGAAAGAGGGCTCTAGAGGCCAGACAGGTTGCACATCCCTGCCTTGAATAGTCTAATTAACAAAAAGGTTCACTTGGCATTACAGAGATGTTGGAACAAACACCTGGAAAACTTGAATTCATGATTTTAAAAAACCCTAGGGCTCTTAGAAGACATGCTGAAACATTCCTTTACGACAAAATTGAAAAATAATTCCATCCCTACGGTGAATTAAACTTCAGATAAAAAGCATCCAGCAATCTGCCTGTCATATGTACAGTATCTGCAGAGGAGTTTTTCTCTGATATCCAATAAACCTGTGAGCAGATGCCCACACAGTGACCTTCAGCTGTACAGAAATAAATACCCCAGACAATTTTAGGGGGCTAATGGCTATTTCATGAAAGAATGAAATACAGTTCATGTTTTCTCAATATGGAGTATACTGACATTCTGTACAGTAGAGAGATCAATATCCAAGATACCTTAGAAGATACTCCCTACTTAACAAAAACCTTTCCTATTAGAAGATTAAATCAGATCAGCACTCTGGTCATTGCTAAGTTGGAAGGCTACGGGAACTGATGGAATGCTCCCTGAAATATGGCAAGCAAGAGAAGAATCAGTCAAGATTTTAACTGAGGTAGGACAACAAATCTGGAAAATGATATTGTGGCTAACCAGTTGGAAGAATGGATGTACATTCCAATTCTAAAAAAGAAACTGAAGAGTATGCAAACTATCATACAATATCTTTAATTTCACACACAGTTATGCAATAACAATATATCCTGCGACTTGCACGTGATAGGTTTTCTAGTACATTAAATATTAACAGCTGTCCAAAATGAAAAATGAGCTAATTAATTGCTTGACGATGGAGTACCCATTTCCAATCTTATACAAATGCCTGATTCAGCCAGTCCACAGAACATCAACATTCCCTATCAGAAGGTTGATTCTGATTGATTTGGCTGTGCTGCAGAGACTATTGTTACACACTGAGGGGCTTAAAATTATCCCACATTTGTCAATTTAAATTTGCCTTGGCTGAAATGTTCATTTTATCAGAATGGAGTAGATATGGATGGTTTTTTAAGGCTAATATCTGGACATTCTAAGAAACACCCTCATTTGGATTATTTATTTATTTATTTATGAGACTTATATACTGCTTTAAGTGCAAGCACTCTCTAAGCGGTGTACACCAGTAAGCAATGTGTATATATATATATATATATATATATATATATATATATATATATATATATATATATATATTTACATTGCCCCCAACAATCTGGGTCCTCATTTTACCTACCTCGGAAGGATGGAAGGCTGAATCAACCTTGAGCCGGTGAGATTTGAACCGCTGACCTGCTGAACACAGTCAGCTAAAGTGGCCTGCAGTACTGCACTCTAACTGCTGCGCCACCTCGGCTCTACAGTAAGTCTCTAGAACATGCCTTACTATTAAAATTCTCATATCTGTTTGTTTCTAACCTTAAATTGTGTGAAGTGGTGCAATCACAGAGAAACCATTTTTGAACCAATGGACTAACTTACAGAATGCTAGGACCCATTAGTCCCATGGGAATGAAATTTGGGGAAGGTGTGGCCATTTCAGCACCACCTTACTGCTGCTTCAGTGCTGCCAAGTCATCTGCAATCACATGATCATTTTGCCCCCAATAATTGGGGAGGGCTTTTAAGGGGAGATTATTTTTGATAATGTTTAATTGTTTAGGGGGTTTTTTTGTAATGTTTAATTGTTAAGAGGGGGATGAGGAGAAAATAGACTAAGTGGATCTTGCTGATTAATGAGATCAGAAATTCAAAGATGAGTTTACAGAAAACAGGTGAAATATGGAATGAAGAGGTAGCTGGTTATAATGTAAGAGACTGGTGAGTTACTAACAAGAAGAAACTAAGAAAAATACAATTTTGCTTTTGGGATTTGATTAGAATTATATGAGATTATAGAAGTAATGTAGACTATTGTTAATTGAGAGTGACACAATGCACTATACTTTTTTTTTTCTTTTATATATTTTTTTTATTAAAAGTTTTATAAGTTTTACAAAAAAGAAAAAAGAATACAAAACAAGAGACAACATATACAAAAAAATAAAACTAAACAATACATAGATAAAAAAAAATAAACCCCCCCCCACCCCTCCCAAACCCCCCCCCTCCCTTCCCCCCCCCCCTGAGCTTCCCAGAGCAGAATATAGGCTTAAAAAGTAAAAATAAAAATTAAATTAAAAACTTTATATTTATATATATAAAAAGATTATCTATAATATATATAAAAATAAAACTTATAAAAAAACTATATAATATTTTTGTATACCCAATCTGAATTGTATAAATTTTATCCATTTATCCCAAACAGCAAAAAACTTCTCTTGCGTTTGTTGCTTTAAGAAAGCCGAGATCTTTGCCATTTCTGCCAGATAAGCTACTTTAAGAAACCATTCCTGCAATGTAGGCAAGGATTCCTTCTTCCAATATTGTCCTACTAACAGCCTAGCGGCTGTAATCAAATTTAACATCAATACAACCTCCTTTGTATCACAATCTGTAACAATACCTAACAAAAATAATTGCGGAGTAAATTTTACCCTCCTTCTAAAAATTCTCTGGATATTCCACCATACTTTGATCCAAAATGCTTTTATCTCTCTACATGACCACCAAATATGGTAATAGGAAGCCTCATTATAACCACATCTCCAACATTTGGGTTGCACGTCAGGGTACATATAAGACATTTTTTGTGGATCAAGGTGCCATCTATAAAACATTTTATAAAAATTCTCCCTTAAGTTCTGTGCTTGTGTAAATTTGACATTTCTCACCCAAATTTTTTCCCAGGTGTCCAATGAGACTGGCTCACCAAAATTCTGCGCCCATCTTATCATACAATCTTTAATTAGTTCCGTTTCTGAATCCAATTCAACTAAAACCGCATAAATTCTCTTAATGTGGGTTTGTCTTGAATCCTTCACTTGCTTAATAAGATTTTCATCTTCTCTAAGAAAACCCACCTTACAATCCATCTTCCATCTGTCTAGTAATTGCCTATATTGGAACCAAGAATAAATAAAGTTTTCTTGTGCTAACTCTTCCCGTGATTTTAATTGCCAGTTTTGTCCATCCCATTTAAGTAACTGTCTATAAGACACCATATCCATTTTAACCCCTCTTTTTATTGCTTCTATCGCATGCCAAGGTATAGCCCATAATGGTACTTTGAAATCACTTTTATAATATTTTCTCCAAATCCTAAGTAAAGAGATTCTTAAGATATGAGATTTAAAAGCCCAATCCATTTTTTTATTGAATATTAAATAGGCATGCCACCCATAAAGTAAGTCCCATCCCTCTAGATAAAGTATCTCAGAGTTTGTCAAATTTATCCAATCACTGATTAGTGTTAAAACCACCGCATCATAATATAATTTCAAATTTGGTACCTTAAGTCCACCCCTCTCACGAAAGTCTTGCATAATTTTAAACTTAACCCTTGGCTTTTTCCCTGCCCAGATAAATTTATTAAGACCCTTCTGCCACTCATTTAAATTAATCTCATTTTTCAAAATTGGTAACATTTGAAACAAAAAAAGAAACTTAGGTAAAATATTCATTTTTATCACTGCAATTCTTCCCATGAGGGATAATTGCAACTTTTCCCAGTTCTTCAAGTCCTTCTGTACCCTGACCCACAACCTTTCATAATTATTTTTAAATAATTTTACATTAGAAACAGACAACATCACCCCCAAATATTTTACCTTATTAACAATCTCAAAACCCGTCAGGTTAGTCAAAATCTGCTTCTCCTGACTAGACATATTTTTAGGTAAAATTTTGGTCTTATTTACATTAATCTTGAAACCCGAGACCAAGCCATAATGATGAATCAACTGTAATAAGTTTGTTACAGAATAATCAGGTTGCGACAAAGTAACAACCAAGTCATCCGCAAAAGCTCTTAACTTATATTCTTTTTTATTAACATATATTCCTTTAATTTCCTGGGATTCTCGAATTTTGATCAATAATATTTCCAATGTTAAAACAAACAACAATGGCGATAAAGGACACCCCTGTCTAGTACAATGCACTATACTTTTAATAAAAACATGTTGGCCAGTTAAATCAATCATAGTAAAAGTGCTAGGTGCTGTGATATTAACACAGATGCTTTGTCTTCCTTTGCATCTGGTCATTCTGAGATAGAGCTTTATACAAACAAATTGGTCAGAACAGAATAACAGTTAGAAGGGACCTTGGAGGTCTTCTAGTCCAAACCACTGCTCAAGCAGAAGACCCTATACCAGCGGTTCTCAGCCTGTGGGTCAGGATCCCATTTGGGGTC